AATGTGTCTTCTCGGTCTCGAGCCCCCAGCTCCAAGGACAGGCCACCTCCACCGCTACCCCTTGCGGCCACCTTAGTTTCCTTGTCTCCCCTCCGCCACAGCCCCGCAGAGCTGGGCCCGCTGGAGCCGTGCATGGCCCGCGCGGTGCTCCTGGGCCCCGCGCCCGGCCGCGCTGCCATCTTTCTCAAGTACGCTCGGCCCCAGCGTCAGGGCACCAGCCTCTTCGCCGCCCGCCTGCTCCGCCGCCCCCAGCCGGGGCCTCCCTGAGCCCCGAGACCCCATCAAAAAAAACTCCGTGTGTGTCAGTCTCCCACTTCAATAAAATCGTTTCTTTTATTCTGAGCGCTGTCCGTTCTTATTGGTCGAATTCTGGTCCATCTATCGCTTTTGATTGGTTACTTTCTGGGCCTCATCTCTCTGATTGGATGTTCTCACCAAATCCCTTAATGAGGAAAATTACAGACTCCTCCGCGAGGGGGCATTGGCGGGCTTCCGCCCACGCTGCGGCGTGGCATCAAACTGGGATTCCAAGCGCAAACACTTGCAAGAGAGAGGTGGACGCAGAGGCTGAGAGGAAAATCGCAACGCAACCCGAATGTCCCTCAGTCTCAGAATTGGGAAGAATCTAGGAGGGATGAGGACTGTAGGAAACTGAGAATGTCCGCCGCAGTCATGAGTTCTACCTTGACGTTGCCAGGTTTTCAGATTTTGTTCAAGTGAAGCTGAAAACCTGCAATTCTAAAAATATCTCTGCTTTCATATGCTGACAACGAATTCAATATTTCTTTAATGGTTGCACAAGCCCAACACATCACGTATGCTGGCCTGCATGGGTCATCAGTTTGTGACATTATGGGTATTTGATAGCAGGAGTTTGATAAGTGGGATTTGATTTACTTAACCTCATTGTGGTGTAATGAGGTTGTAAGTTAATATTCAAAGTTTTAGGACACTGCCTGGCACCTAGTGGGTGTTGTGAAAGTGCCAGTGTTTCATCCTAGCAGGACTGTGAGTTAGGGACAGTGGTTTCCTGTTTCTACTGAACTCCTGGCACCTAGCCATGTAGCAGGTGCTCCGAAAATATTTGTTATGAACCAATGGATCTCCATGATTTTAATTAAAACACACCTGAGATGCAGAAAGGTGACCTCCCTGCTCTGGAATTCCATCTCAGGAATATTAGATTCTTAACCAAGCCAGGGTTTGGAGGTGCAGGGAGGAGGAAATTTCTGTCCCAAGATGTTCAAGGTTGGAGGACTAGGGATGGTGGAGAGCCTCACTCAGCAAAGTACAATAAGAAATAAAAGCAGATACCGCTGTTGGAATGGAAGGTGCCTTGTTCAGGTTTGGGATTGTTGGATGGGGCCTGCCATGGGACCTCCTGGCGGAGGATGTGTGGTGGGAGGGGGAGGGGAGGACAGTGGAAAAACAAGCTTGGTTCTTGGAGGTGAGACCCAAGCTAGGGTCTGGTGGGGCCAGGGGAGGGTGGTAATATATAAAGTTATTCATTCATTCAACAATAATATGGATGCTGACTCAGAGCTAGGTACTTATGATCACCTATCTCATAGCCTCACTGATGATAAGAAATACAGGTTGCCAACTGCTCGGTATGTACCAGGTCCTGTGCTAAGTGCTTTATCTGCACAACATAATCCAGTTCCTGCAACTACCCTGAAGTAAGCTCACTTGTAATCCCGGTGTTACACAGAAGGAAGGAGTTCACTTACCTGAATTCCCAGCGGTTTTCCTACTCAGACAGTGAGCTTGATGAGGTCAAGAAGCAGATCTCTCTTGCTCATAGAGTTATCCTCCCCTCTAGGAAGCCTCTGCTCACCGCACAGTCTAGGGCAGGCACCTCCGCTGGGCCCTCAGGGCCTGTTGTGTGTCCTCTATCTTGGGCTTGGCCCCTCTGCCTGTGCCTCCCCCATCCTCCCCTGAACACTTTGCCTGCGCTTCCCAGGCTAGCCCACTCTAGGCTGTCACTGGCTACTGGTCTGTCTCCTCACTGGACTAGGGGCTCCATGAGGGTAGGGCCTGAGGCTCACTCACTCCCTGCTATGTCCCAGCATCACCCAGCCCAAAGCTGGGCACAGGAAAGATATCAGTATTTATTTGTTGCATAGATAAACAAATGAGTTTCAAAGTTGCTATCATTGTTCTTCCACGTTACTGAGGAGGATACAGGGTTCCAGGTAATTTAGGTGATGTGTCCAAGTCATATGTAACTAGTGAGGAGAAAAAGCAGGGAATTGAATGTGGGCAGCTTGAATCCGTAGCCTGTATCCTTATCCAACATGCCAAATGCCTAGTGGGTTGAAAAGCAGCTTTCCACGAGGTTGAAATCTTCCTGTTCTTTCTCCCAGACTTGTCCTTTCCTTCTAGAAAGCTTTGGGAGCTTTGGGCACGGGGGAGGAGAGCAAGCAGGAGGGTGGGGAGAGTAAGGTGAGAGGGGAGGAGGAAGAGGTGGGCTGGAGAATGAGGGCAGAGGCTGATTTGAAGGAGAGAGTGGGGAAGTCTTGAGGGGTTTCTCTAGACCCATAGGGGGCAGCCGGAGTCGGCTGCCGGAGGTGCGGGGGCGGAGAAAGGGTGGGGACTGGCCCCGCGGGGGGCAATGCGGTAGCTGCAGCGGCGGCCGCAGGAGTTTCCCACAATGCAGCGCGGTGCGCTGTCCCCGGTGCTGATGCTCAGCGCTGCCCCGGAGCCTCCGCCGCGCCCGCCTCCCGCCCTCTCCCCGCCGGGCCCGGGCCCCCGCCATGGCTCGACTCGGCCCAGTCCTGCCCCAGAGCCGTCGGGGGGCCTGGGCGCGGCGCTCGACAGCAGCTTGCGGGCCGCCGTGGCGTTCAAGGCGGAGGGCCAGCGCTGTTACCGAGAGAAGAAGTTCCGGGAAGCCATCGGCAAGTATCATCGGGCACTGCTGCAGCTGAAGGCGGCGCAGGGGGCCCGCCCTGGAGGCCTGCCCGCCCCCGCCCCCGGGCCCGCCACCAGCGCGGGGCCAGCGCGACTCAGCGAGGAGCAGCGGCGCCTGGTGGAGAACACGGAGGTGGAATGTTATGATTCTCTCACGGGTACGCGGCCGTCGGGGGCGCAGAGGGTGCATTTGTGACCGGGCTGCAAAGTGAGGGGCAATCATGAAGCCTTGGGCGGGGTGGGGGGCGGAGGCTTGAAGGGACCAGGGCTGGGGTCTGTGAGGGGAGACATCAGAACTTATTGAGAGGGCTTGGGGATGTAGGAGCCACCGGGATGGAAGGAGCTGGGATGCAGGAAATGGGCTTTGGGCGTCCACCGCAAACCTCAGGTGAGAAAGACTTACCCTAGATGGGCCATTTAAGGCCTCATCCCTCACCTGAGATCGCCCTTAGTGGTACGCCCCCTATGGAAGCCGCCCGAGAGCTCTCTTGCCTGTGTTTTTCGCACCCTCTAGAGGCGGCGCAGATTGATTATATTCTGATTGGTCAGAAGCTGGGCAGCCCCTGGTGGCCGGAACAGGCATTTAGGCCTGGCTCGCGGTGGGAGAGGGTGGGGGTTCCCCGCAGGCTGAAAGCCATGCTCTTCGAGGTCAGGTGAAGTCTGGGGTTGCCGGCAGGCTCTGAGAGCGCCGGTCCTGGTGCCCCCGCAGCCTGCCTGTTGCAGTCGGAGCTGGTGAATTACGAGCGGGTGCGCGAGTACTGTCTCAAGGTGCTGGAGAAGCAGCAGGGCAACTTCAAGGCCACCTACCGCGCTGGCATCGCCTTCTACCATCTGGGTGACTATGCACGGGCGTTGCGCTACCTGCAGGAGGCCCGAACCCGGGAACCCACAGGTGAGGGGGCAGAGGGCAGGGCGGAGAAGGGACAGGGGCTGAAGCAGAGGGAACAAGGATAGGGAAGCCAGGGCAGAGCTACGCCAAGGGAGCGCTGTACCAGCCACCCCACTTCCACCTCTCCACCTACTCCACACCCACTCATTCTTCCTTAATATTCACCTAATCACCTCTCACGTATTCACTCTCATTCTGATGTTTCCCATTCAGCCGATTCCCTATCTACTCCCCCCCCCCCCATTCATCCACCCCCTCACTAACCCAGTCCCACACTCACCTGTCGGCCACCTGTACTCTCAGCCACCACTTGTGGAGCACTTGCTGGGGGCAGACCACAGGGTGGGAAATGCCAGAACATCTGCAGGGGGTGGGACAGGGGATGGCAGAGCTGGTGGCTTGTTCCTTGCCCTTTAGGAGATCACAGTCAGTGTGTGGGTGTGCAGACAGACACAATACACAATTTTGTATTAAGAGCCAATGAAGAGGAGCACAATGTGCATGACACGGGCTGTGGGAGCGGAAGCAAGATGATTCCCTGGTAAATGGTTTGGAGAGAACAGGCTTCTGCAGATGTCACTGGAGGACAAGTGGAGTGTACCAGGAGTCTCAGCAGAGGCATTCCTGGAAGCAGGCATAGCAAATGCAAAAGTCTGGGGGTGTGACATGTCCCCTCCCTTGTTGTGGCTGGGCTTTTGGAGAAAGGCTCTGGCAATACCAGCAGGGGAGCCACTGAAGGCTGGGGACAGTGTGTGAGACGAAGTGCTGCAGATACCACCTGCTGCCCTAGGACACCCAGATAATGCCCTGCCCACCTCCCTGCAGACACCAATGTCCTCCGCTACATCCAGTTGACTCAGCTGAAGATGAGCCGGTGCAGCCTGCAGCGGGAAGACAGTGGGGCCCGGTCTCGGGATGTCATTGGCTGAGGTCAACCTGGAGGGACTGTCCCTGCTCCCTCTCTCCCACCTCACTGTGTAACTTTCCTGACTCACGTATTCTCTGGTAAAGCACTTATCACTGGTGATCAGAATCTGTGTGATGTTCTTCTGGGAACCAGGGAGGGGACACAGGTCTGGGCTTCATCCCTTGAAACTCAGAAATCCAGAGGGGCCCAGGGAGGAACAAGGGTCCAGGTACCTCACCGAGGATGAGGCGGGATCAGGGCCTGGGCCAGGGAAAGACACACAGCCAAACGTGGTAGGGGGCAGGGGTTACCTTTAATGCTGCATTTTGTGCCAAATCCCCCACGTTGCCCTGTCCCTGAGTATCCCTGCCCACCCTCCCCCCTGCTGCAGGGTGAGCACAGGGCCCCACCCCCTGGGGTATAAAGGAATAAATTAAGTGTCCCCCCTCCCCCCTTCCCCAATAAATAGAGTGAGTATCCTGCCCAGGGCCCCCCCTGCCTTGTGGCCTGGTGGGCTGGGGCTGGGCCCAGGGAGCTACATTCATGGCTGCCCAGGCGGGTGGTGGTGGGCAGGCTTCAGCGGGAACCACGGGCCCCACACAGGGGCACTGTGCTGTCCTGGCTCTGCCCCTCCATGTCCATGTCAAGCAGCGTGGGCTGCATGCTGGGGGGCCCGGGGCTCTCTGGAGTGTCCAGCCTGCTGGGAGGCGAAATGCTGAGAGTTTGGCCGAAGGAGACCAGTTTCCAGGCATCCAGGCGGGGGCGGCTGGCAGCCGGCCGGGGTCTTGGGGCGAAGGTCAGGGTGGTGGGGCGTCCAGGAAACTCAGGGGGCCGGAGGTGGGTGGGAAACAAAGCCTGCGGTTCCGGCAGGCGGGGGAAATCCAGGGTATCTCGAGGGCCTGGTAAGAGAGGATCAGATGAGGTGAGTCGGGTGGAGCAGAGGGTGGTATTGAAAAGCCAGGAACATTGACATGAAAACTGGAATTTCTGATTTTTCTCAAAAGATGTGCTGGAGAAAAAGCCCTCATCGGTCCCAACTCTACTACTACACTGAGCTAGGGTCAGAAAGACAGAGCTCAGAGCTATGGAGAGACCTCAGGCATGACAGCATCTCTAAATGGAGATAGCAGCACCTCCTCACATAGGCGAGGAGTAAATCGAGTAATAATAATGGTCAAACAGCAGCTCAGTGCCTGATAAGAGGTACTTAACTCCTTTATGCTTCAATCATCTTTGTCGTTAACAAAGGCACAGAGAACAGGGCCTAGCGCATGAGTGTTAGCTATAATTTTTGTGTTAGCTATAGTTACTATGGTTGCCACTAATGTCACCTGCCCGGCCTGTGGGTATTAGAGTTTGCCACCTCTGCTTCATCCTGTCTCAATCACCTGGGGCCCCGCAATGCCACCAGCAGTGAGGGGCAGGGGGACACAGCCCTTCCTCCTCGCACTGAGTAGGAGATGGCCGCCCTGGCATTCTGGGGTGGCAGATGGGCTGGTACACTGGACCTCGGAGGGGCAGGGAAGAATGGTCTTTTTATGCGCACTGGGCACAGGGTGCCTCACTCACCAGGACCAGGGCCCACGGGCTCCGGTGCCCCCCGATGCCCTAGTGCCCCATCCGATGGGGTCCTCCGGTGCCCACGGTTCACAGTGCGAGCGGCAGTGACCGTGACGTGGGTGGGCGTCAGTGACTGGCGGGGGTCCTTCTTGAAGCTCTCTAGTTCCAGATCCACCAGGGGGTTGGTGCTGGGTGAGGGCGCAGGAGGGGAGGGCGTCGGGGAGGGTGCGGCTGGCGCGGCCTCATCGCTGTCAGAGCGCAGCAGCGAACGCGTGGAGTTGCAGTCGGACACGGAGGACAGCGACACGAGGGTGGCGGAAGGCGCCAGGCCCGAGCCAGCGGCTGCTGCGTCGTGGCGGCCCGGGGAGCGCGCAGTCGGGCTGAGGCCCCGTGGAAAGCGGCCGGTGCGGGGGAAGAAGAGGCTGTCGAGCCAGCGCCGCTGCTCACCATCTGCTGCGCGCGCCTCGGCCACGTCCGCGCCCAGGCCCACGGCGCCCAGCAGCGTGGCGCAGCTCAGCAGCGCGAATTCGCAGCGCCGCAGCTGGGCACCAGGCCCGGGCCGGGCGGGCGTCACCGGCACACCAGGGGAGGGCTCCGTGGGCAGCGGCACCTCGAGGTAGGCCGGGGTGCTGTAGGGGGAGTGGGACTCGCTGCTGCCTCCGTCTGCCTCCGCGAACTCCTCTGCAACCGGAGAGGGCCGGCGCTCGACTCCGGGGTCCCTGGGGACTTGGAGGCAAGGGACTGCCCCCAGTGACCCCTCCAACAGCAAGACCACCACGTCCACCAAGGATGGCTTTCGAATCAGTCTCCCCCTAAAGCCCCCTGCGCCCGGGAGTGATGCCCACACCACAGGCACGGCTGTCCCCCTTCCGGGCATGCTCTCGGCCCTCGGCCAAGTGAAACCTGCTCCCTCCCCTGAACCCTGGGGAATGGCAGGAATGTCCTCTCCCCTCCCTTCTGAAGGCACCTCACCCTCTTACCCATCTCATTGAGGCTGGCGAAGCCTGGTGCAATGGGAGTGTGTTTGGGGGACTTGCCCAGGTTGGGGGCGCTTGATGACCACTGTTTGCTTCCTTCCCCCAGGGCCTTTAGCCTGCAGGGGGAACCAGAGATGGGGTGGTGGTGGGCCTTCTGGTGGCCATGGGCCTGGGGGTGGGGCGCAGGGTGGGCTCCAGCCACCAATACCTCTCTTCTCCTTCAGCCCGCTCCTTCTGCAGCGTGGAGCTGGGGCCCCAGGTCCGGCCTTTCTTCTTGCCCCCAACCAGTTCTTCCTTCTTCGGAGGCCCGCTGCGACCCCATGTCCCACTGCCGGCACTGCTGCTGCCGCTGCTGCCGCCACCACCGTCCACGGGAGTCACTGGGCCGAGAGAAGCCACTTGGTTACTGGGTCTGGGAAAGTGTCCCCTCTGGCTTCCCAGCTTCACTTTCCCCACCTCGGATTCATCCTCCACCTGGAAGCCCAAGGGATCTTGGATTCTAACTCTAGTCATGACCCTCCTCTGCTCTAAATCCTTCCATAGCTCCCCAGTGCTGTCAGGATGGCAGCCCCGCTCCTCAGCCTAGCATTTGAGGTCCTTCCTATGTTATTCCCAGCTGACCTCCTCAGCCTTGTTTCCATCACTCCTCACAGCCTAACCCTTCCACCACCCGTTCATTCTCAAACGTTTACTGAGCGCCTGTTCTGTGCCAAGCCCTGTGGCGATGCTGCAAGGACAGCTGTGGACAAAGCAGACAAAACGCCAGCCCGCAGAGCTGACATGTCACGGGGAAGCCATCTGTGCAGGCAGGCAGTGCTGCGGGGAACAGGACGCAGGGACGGGCTCTGTCTGGTGGCCAGGGAAGGCTTGCCGTGGGAGGCGTTGAGGGAGTGAGTCAAGGAGACACAGGGAGAGGAGCCTTTCAGGCAGAAGGAACAGCAAATGCCAAGGCCCTGAGGCTGGACAGCACAGAGTGTGCACAGAACAGCCAGGCGGCCAGTGTGGCTGGTGCGAAGGGAGGGAGGGAAGGAGGAGAGCGAGCTCGAGTTGGGATACGCGGGCAGAGGGCATAGTGCCATGGTTGAGACCCCATGTCTACAGGTCCCCAGGTGGGTGCTTTCATACTTCCGTGTCTTCGCACAGGCTCTTCCCGTCCCCTGGATTCTGCGCCCTTTCAGTCCCTTTCCTGACTGGGTGAGCTGCTTGCCCTTCCAGCCTCCAGTTCTGGAGTCATTTGTTCCCAGGAGAATTGGTTGCTCTGACGTCTCTGTTCCTGCCACTCTGACAGCACCCTGATGCCGGTATTGACTCCACTGCATGGCTGTGATCTGTCTTTGTGTCGCCCATGAGAATGACTTCCAGGCCTGATAAAAGCTGGTGCCCACACTGAGGTGTGCAGGGGACAGAGTGTGGGGCAAGGCAGACTGGGAGTCAGTCCTGTGTCCTTCAACTCGTCAGCAAACCCCAGTGGTGCACCTCTGCCTGGCAGGCCCGGCTGCGGCCATCTGCCCCTCTAAGGCCCTACTCTGGTCCAGCCCCATCAGCTCACCTTCTCCTGCCCTTACGCCTGCCCTCCTACCATTCACGCTCCCCATACTGCCAGAGGGAAAAATATGTTTCATCACATCACTGCCTTGCTCACAGCCCTCCAGGGCTCCCTGTCACCCTTAAAATAAAATCCAGATTCCTTACCCCAGCTCTCAAGGCCCGGTGTGATCTGGCTCCTGTTGGGACCCTGACCTCAAGCCTACTACTCTGCGTCCCATTCGTTCTACCCCAGACAAGTTGGCCTTTTGGGCTGACACACACGCCATGCTGGTTCCCACCTCCCGGCCTTTGCCTTTGCTGTGACCTCTGCCAGGGACACTCTTCCTTCAGATCTCTGCATGTCTTTCTCGCTCCTTACCACATAGGTCCCTGCTCAAACCCCAGCTCCTCCAACAGGCCTTCCTCATGGACAACAGCAACTCTTCTCTTTTACGCCCTTCTCTTTATAGCGCTTATCCCTCCGAGAAATCACCCTGTGTGCTTACTGACATGTTGTCTGCTTCTCTCCAAAGGGAATGAAGGCGGGGACGCTGCCTGTCTTGTTTCCTGCTGATCCTCCACTTGGTGCGAGGGGTGTGCTCAGAGGAGCATACTGACTGACGGACTGGCCGGGGCCTTGGGAGATACTCACGGCGAATGGCCCTCAGCCGGGGGATGATGCTGGGGCTTGCAGGGGGGCTGGCCCCATTGGATCCTTTCCGCTTGTCCAGGGTTGGAGAAGCCTGGACTGTGATCTTATGCTCGAAGCCTGCAAAACAGAGACTTCCCTAAGCAAGTGGTTCCCTCTAGTCTAGAAGTCTAGAAGGAGTCCCACTCTTTTGCATTCTTAATGCAGTGATTCTCCACTTGCGGTTCCCAGACTAGCAGCATCAACCAAGTGGAAACATCCTGGAAATGCATGTTCTCGGGCCCTCCCTGAACTGGCAGCTTTGGGGGTGAGGGGCAGCGATCTCACTGTGGTGGAACAAGCCATCCAGGGACCTGTGATACACACGCAGGTCCAAGAGCCACTGCCCTCGCCGACTAAGGACCTAGGCCTGAGTGTCCACGATGGTAGCCATTAGCCACATGTGGCAACTGAGCACTTGAAATGTGACTTGTGCAATCGAGGAACTGGAGAGTTTTACCTTTATTTATTTAAGTGTAATGCATTTAAGTTTACTTTTAAAAGACGAATATGCAGATTTGCTCATTAGAAACAGTTAAGGATGTTTGGAACAACTTGGGTGTGTGAATCTGCTTTTTCAACGGTACATGATATGAAATCTAAATACAGGTCAAGTATTTTTTATGAAAATCTAGTCCTCAGATTAAGAGGAACTGTAAATAGAGAATACATACTGGATTTTATAGAATTAGTGTGAAAAAAGGAGGTACAGTATTTCTTTAACAAGTTTTCCTTGCATTATTACATGTGAAACCATAACATTTTAGACATACTGGGCTAACTAAAGTGAGTACTGGCACTTTCTCAGAGGGCTGTCAGGAAACGTGCAAGCACACACGTGTGCCGCACTGCCGTGAGTGTGCTGTCCTGGGCGCTGCGCTGTGGCCGTGACGTCACCGAGACAACCGGTGCCGTGCGCCCCGCACACTACCCAGGGAGCAGTCTTTGGGGGGAAAAAATCAAACCTGAACTTGAAACTGATTAAGCCTTGAGATCCACGAGAAACTTCCGTTTCTGTAGATCAAAGATGACTGAACGTCAGCAATTTTCACATGGTTTCACCTAATACCAGTTACAGAAAACGCGGGACAGGACAGTGTGGCGTGAAACCAGTGCCACGCAGGCGGGAAAGTCCAGAGCGTGGGAAACGCACGGGATACATGACGTACCCTCAGCAAGCATTGGCAAGGAGGAAAGAGAGGCCGAGTAAGAGATATTATGCAAATAGCTGGGGAAGAGATATTATGCAAATAGCTGGGGAGAAAGCTATAAAGTAAGGAAGGGGCCGCCCTGAAGGCCGAGACAGGGCTGCTCTTGGGGCCCGCAGGATGTGGGAGGGGGCATAGGCAGGGCATCTGCTTTAGGTTGTCTGCTTTCGTCGGGGTGATTCTACCAACTCATTAGGCTGTATGGTTTTTTGGCGTTTTTGTGTGTTTGTGATATATTTAACATTACAACGGTTTAGAAAAAGAAAAAAGAAAAAGGAAGCGATAAACCCTGGGTTAGGGATGCTCCCAGTGGCCTGCTGGGGGCGCTCAAAGGATAGACGCGGTACCGGAGGGCAGGCTGATGTGGCTGCTGCCTTCCCGCAGCCTGAGCAGGCGGGTGCGCTTGAAGTTGCCCTTGCGTTTGTGGACCCGGGGCTTCTCCTGGCTCAGCTGGCACATTAGCAGGTGCAGTTCCCGCTCCACGATGTCCATCTCGCGCTCCGCCAGCTCCTGCTCCCGCCGCCGCAGCTGCTCCTCCTGGAAGCGCTGCTCCTGAGCCGCCCGCAGTAGCTCCTCCTCGCGGCTCCGGAGCTCCTGGAGAGGAGACGCAGGGCTGGGTGGGGGCAGCTACTCTGCCCCTGGGATGGACCCAGGGCCGCTGGGTCTGGCTGGGGCCCTGCTCAGGAGTGTTCTGCTGTGAGGCAAATTCGGGGCACAATCCAACTCACTCACTAACCCAGCCAGAAGCCAGGGCAGGGGACTGTGTTCGCCCAAAGAAAGAATGCCCTTTTTTTTCCTCTTTGATTTTTAATGTTTTAACTCTCCAATTTGGAAAACTTCAAACATTCCACAAAAGCAGAGAATAGTACATCTCTATGTACCCATCATCCAACACGTGTGTGTACTTTGCAAATCTTCCCTTTCCTTCCCTCCTCTCTCCCTCTCATTTTGCTGTATTTAAAACTAACCCCAGACGTCATGCAGTATCTATCACTTGTAAGTACTTCCGTGCAGGGTGCCTTTTTCTCATTAATCTACCAACAGGATGCTGTCTTTTCTTAATAGGCAAGAAAGGCTCCCATGGCCTGGCTCGGGGGGGGGGCACCCAAGGTATCAGAACCCAGGGATCTCGTTCCCTCCCTCCCACCTTGCCCCTTGCCTTCACCTTCTCCTTCGTCCGGAGGTCGTCGAACATGTGCTGAATCTCTAGCTTCCAGTCTTCCTGCAGTGAGTGAAAGGACTCCAGCGGCATCTGAAATAGTGCTGACTGTTCTATGACTTCAAGCTGCTTCAAGATGCTGCCGAAGTCTGGCCGCACGTGGGGGTCTGGATCCCAGCACTCTAGGGGGGAGGGGGAAAGGGAAATGTCAGTGGTCATGTTCAGGGCATCAGCCTGCTCAGTGACAGACAGGACTTCAAGGGGCTGTGGACAACCAGCTTCCATGGAGCTGAGGGGAAGGAATTCAAATCCAAATTCCTGGTAATATTTCACTCGGTGGAACTAGGAGAGAAACCCCGGGACCCGCCCTCTGACTGGTGGTAGAACCAGAGATCAGGGAGAGATCCCAGGGCCAGAGAATCCTAATAGGTTGCCTTGAGAGCTGTGGGCCTGGCCACAGTAGGGGTCTGGGGGCATGGAGCCAGCTGCAGGGGAGTCATGGTCTGATGAGTCCACCCCTTTTCTCTCACTCCTGGGCCCACTGGATGGATGATTGTGAAGGGGTGAGGTCTGGACCCAAGAACCCCTGCCACCCAAGCTGAGCCTTCCCTCTCCACAGGGCCCCGGCTCACCCTCCAGTAGGCGGGCAAAGGGCTCGGGGCACGTGGAGGGGATGGGCAGCGTCAGCTTGTTCATAGCCACGCCATACGCCACAGCCAAGGCGTCGATTTCACGGTAGGGGACCTCACCCGTCAGCAGCTCCCAGAGCAGCACCCCGAAGCTGCAGGTGAGGGAGAGGGAGGGGTGATGCCGGTCCATCCCAATCCTCACCTATGCCCCAGCCCTGCCTCCGGTCCCCTGGTGTGTCTCCCTCACCCCAACATCCAGCCTGGCCAAAGAGGCCACAAGACCCAATTTGACCTCCATTGCCCTGATCGCAAATAGATGTGGTGGGTTGCTCTCTGATGTCTTGCCTTTGCTCTCCCTTCCCTTGCCCCTGCCTGAAAACCTTCGGTGCATCCCACACCCACTGGGCAAACCCACCCTTCTTAGCCCTGACCTTTGATGACCCCTGCAGCCTCACCTCTAAGCACTCTTGGGCCCATTACCAACCTCAGCTTCATCTTGCAGCCACACTGCAGTTGAACAAGCCCTGTTCTTCCTAACATCTGACCTTTGCACATACTGTTCCCTTTGTCAAGAACACTTCTCCTTTTGTGTAACTGCTCCTTAAGTCTCAACTCAGGTGCTCCCTCTGCCAGGAAGCCTTCCTCGATTCCACCGCCTCCAAAGCTGAGTCAGAGGTCCCTCTTTTGTTCCCATAGAACCTTTGGCAATCATCTCTAAAAACAAGTCAACACTATGTAACATTTGCAAAGCACGTTGCTATGGCCAGCATTGTGCCAGGCACGCTCAGCAATCTGCGCCACAGGCCTGGAGGCAGGTCTTGCAGTGATCCCCACTTTATCTGATGAGCAGATGTAGGCTCAGGAAGGTTAAGGTGCTAGTACGCGGTGGAGCCAACTCGAACTGAGGTCTGCCTGATGTTCACGGCAATGACCTTAATGGCCACAGAGCGCCGGAGCGTGCATCGCTGTGCTGCAACCCCCTGCAGCCGCCTTCTCCGTAAGCCCCACTCCTTCTGGGTCTCGACCGCTGTTCCGTGCAGTGCCTGACGTGTGGTAGAGCCCCCCACATCCACACGTGCATTCATTCAATGTATACCTATTAAGTATCCACTGTGTGTCAGATACTGTTCTCGGTATTGGGGCGAGACAGATGCAGCCCCTGCCCGCATGCAGCTGACAGCCTCCCCTTCTTTCTGAGACAGTGCTGGTGAGCTCGGACTGGGCACGCGCCGCCTGATGTAATCTTCCTCCTCCTTTGCAGCTTGTTATGCCCCTGTGTCAATGGTTCTGGCCAGTGGGATGTAGGAGGGTGTGTGGTGCGCAACTACCTTCCAGGGAAGGGGGACCCCTTTCACCTTTTCTCCTTTCTACTGGTTGGAATGTGGACATAAAAACTGGAGTTCAAGCATGGAGTTCAAGCATGTGGACCATGAAGTGAACTTTCCTCTATACAAGGTGGAGGGAAATGAATGGCTTGTACTTAGAGGTGGCATGACCCCCACCTCTCCTATGTCCCTGCAAACCTGTGGGGATGTTTTGATTGTCACAATGCCTGGGAAGTACTACTGATGTTTGGTGGCGCGGAACCACAGATACTTTTGTCCTGAAAAGTATAGGACAGTATCACACAAGCAAGAATGATCCTGCCCAATGTCAATGACACCCGGTTAAGGAACCCCGACATTGGACCTTAAATCTCTAACACTGGGGCCACCTATCAGTCCTGGCCTCGCACAGCAGCAAAAACGTCAGTCCTGTTTTTATTCTGAGGTTTCTGGGCTCCGCTCAGTGTCTGGGACCACAAATGAATGCCTGATGTGAAGCCAGGGAGGACTTTCCCCAAAGGCCGTGCTGCTCTAGCTGAGCCGTCCTGTCTAATCTGTCTGTCCGAAAGCCAGGACTTTGCTGCTTGGTCCATCTGGAGCCTCGGCTGGGTTTGGCTCTGTCCTAGCAGAAGGCCTTAGGTTGAAGAACTTTGCTGCCACCATGAAGTCTTGCAGGTGATGGCAACAGCCTCCTCATTGGCCTCCCACCCCCACTCCTTCTTTGCAATCCATTCTCCACCCTGCAGCTGGAGGGAGCCTTTCCAATGCTGAATCAGATCGCGTCACTCATCAGCGCCTCTAATGGCTTCCGCTGCGCGTAGGATAGAACCGGAGTCTGGTCCCTCATCCAAAGGGCCCCCCAGCTCTCCTCTCATTTCCTACCACTTTCCTCTTTGTCTGCTCCGGCCAACCACACGGGCCCTTGAAGCTGTTTCTGGAACATACCATTCTTGTTCTCACCTCAGTACCTCCTTTGTGTGAGCTGTTCCCTCTGCCTGGGAGGTTTCTTCCCCCAAACTCTGCAGAGCTGGCCCTGTCTTGTCATCTAGAATGCGGCTCAAATATCATTCCTCAGAAAAGCCGTCTGCAAGATGTCCTCCAGCCCTCAGAACACCGTTCCATCAACCTCCTGGCTCGCAATGCTATCTAATACTTTTTCTGGTGAATTAACTTATCTTTTAAAATTTTCTTAATTTAAAAACAGCCCCTTTTCCCCAGCTTCTTGTGTACTTATTTATTTACTATTCCTGTGAGCAGGGAATTTGTCTATATTATTTCCTGCTGTATCCCTAGCACCCAGTGCAGTTGGATGGATGGATGAATAGTTGTCTCCAAAGGCCTCGACTTCCTGTTAGACAAGTTGAGGCTGTGTACTGCAGCGGTTCTCAACCTGTGGGTCGTGACCCCTTTTGGGGTCGAACCACCCTTTCACAGGGGTGGCCTAAGATATAACAGTAGCAAAATTATAGTTATGAAGAGGAACAAAAATAATTTTATGGTTGGGGGTCACCACAACATGAGGAAGCATTAGGAAGGTTGAGAACCACTGGTGAACTGGATGGTGTCTGAAGGTTCTTTAGTGCTGACAACATCCTATCTCTACATCTTTGGTTTTTGTTGTTCTTTTTTTTACTGCAACAAAAGTCATCCTCAGCTGCCACTTTTGCTAACAGGCAGAGACCTGCTCTGGTACCCATCTGATGGTCTGACGTCACCAGCAGATCCCTTTGCCAGGCCCAGATCCTGGCTTCAGTGGGAGACTGTCCCTCCCACTCTGCCCTCACCCTTCCTCACTCCCCATTTCCAGGAGGCCTCCCCAGCCCCACCATCAGCACCTCCAGACGTCACTGCTTTTGGAGAAGAGGGAGAGACGGATAACCTCCGGGGCCATCCAGGCGTAAGTCCCCGCGGCGCTCATCTTGGTGGTCTTGTGCCACTCACGGGCGAGGCCGAAGTCCGTGATCTTGAGCACCGTGTCTGCGAGGTTGTGGTTCTCGATGGCCTCCAGAATAAGAACTGTGAGGTAGGAAGAAAGGCGGTCATCCCAGACCCGGTGGGCTGTAGACCGCATGTCTTGGCCCTGCCTCAGCTGGAATCCCCTACTGTTTTCTCCCTCCCCCACCTCAAGTGGCCAGTCTAATCCCGGACCCAGGCTCTCATGAGGTCCCCTGCCCTCCTGACTCCAACCTCAACACTGGGGAGCTCAGGGAAAGGTCGATGGTCAAGGCCTTGGTTCTCCTTGGTCTAGGCCTTGAATTCTCAACCTCCCCAGAAGTGGAAGCTACAAACCACGAGCAGAAGGGATGAACGAGGCTTCCTTTGGCTTTGTCATTCCTGCGGTCACAGCACTCATGGCCCCAGTTCTACTCCTGTCTGTGTCATGCTCGTTGCCATGTCTTTGCAGGTCTTTCCACCAGGAGGTGGAGTGCACTTCCCCATCCTTTCCTCTGGGTTGGCCATATGGCTTGCTTTGGCCAGTCGAGGGAGGCAGAAGTGAGTGCCTAGCCTGGGCTCTAAGAGGCCTCCTGCCAGCTTGCCCTCTTGCCATCACCAGGAGAACATGTCTTTCTGGTCCAAGGAAGATGAGATATCCTCAGAGCAAAGCCTCTCCAGCTGAGCCCAGCCTAAATCATTGACCCTCCAGATGGCCTGCAAATGTATGAGTAGTCACAGATGACATAGAGTTTGAAGACACCAGGTTTTGGGGGTGGTTTGTTACACAACAGTATTGTTACAGAATCTGACTGATATATCCCCCAAGCATATTGAATGGTTCCAATTTACTTGCTACCTATGGTCAGTACTAACAACAATAATAATCAAGGCTGGTATTTATCAAGAGACTATTATGTGGCAGGCACAGTGCCCCATAATAATGAATTACTTCACTTATATTCATTTCATTATATTCATTTCCATGAATTAACTGGCAAGCGACACATTTTGTTGACTAGCAAACTGAGGCTCAGAGAGATGAGGTCACTTAGCCAAGATCACATAGCTTAATAATGGTAGGGCAAAGACCTGAACTCTATCTGTCATCAGCTTTGAACTGCTACCATACTACTCTAGTACCTTCTATCAAACAGAAGCCCCGAAGTGTACAGTGTACTGCCTGGGTCTGAATTCCAGCTCTGCCACTTATTAACTGCATAACCTTGATAATTGATTTTTCTTTTAATTTTTATTTACTTATTTTTTATCCTCACCTGAGGACATTTTTGCATTTATTTTCAGAAAGACCAGGAGAGAGAGAGGGAGGAAGAGAGAGAGAGAAACATCAACATGAGAGAGACACATCAAGTGGCTGCCACTCACACAACCCCAACCAGGGTCAGGGACAAACGGCAAACAAGGTACGTGCCCTTAGCAGGAACAGAACCCGGGTCTCTCTGGTCCACAGGCCGACTCTCTAACCGCTGAGCCAAACTGGCCAGGGCTACTTTATTTTTCTTAACACTAGATTTCTCCTGTTAGATGGAGATGATAATAGTGTTTACCTAATAGGGTTGTAGTAAAGATTTATTGCCTGAAGCAGCAGTAGGCCCTTTAAAAGTGTTAGCAATTACTATCACTGTATGATGTCACCCTAATTGTTCCTTCCTCCTCCACCTTTATCTTTGACTCTTCCCAGCTACTTCACCAGTCACAATAACAATGAGGTAATTCTACCATCAGTCCATTTGGCAGATGAAGAAACTGGGGGGTTAGAGAGATAGGTACATTTCCCAAGGTCACACAGCTGGTAATCTTGTCCATCCTTTAAAGCCTGACTCAAATGCCACCTCCTCCTGGCAGCTGCTGGTGACTCTCTAGCCTGTGACTCCAACTCACAGAAGTACTCCCTTCTTGGGCTGCCACCTCTCCTATTTGTGGAGTGGCCCTGTGACAGAGGGAACAAACCCATGGTCATACACCTTATTTCTGCATCTTTCACGCTGAGCCTAAATCAGTTCCCTTTATTTTTTTGTTATTTTATTATTATTATTTTTTAATCCTCATCCGAGGACATTTTTCCATTTTTTGTACAGACAGAGTGGGAGGGAGAGAGAGGAAGAGAGAGAGAGGGAAACATCGATGTGAAAGGGACACATCAAGTGGCTGCCACCTGCACGACCAACCAGGGCCGGGGACAAACTGCAACCGAGGTACATGCCCTTAGCGGGAACTGAACCCGGGCCTCTCCGGACCGCAGGTGGACGCTCTAACCGCTGAGCCAAACCAGCCAGGGCTAAATCAGTTCCCTTTATTTATTTTCCTCACCCGAGGACATTTTTCCATTTTTTGTTCAGTAGAGTGGGAGGGAGAGAGAGGAACAGAGAGAGAGAGAGAAACATCGATGTGAAAGGAACACATCGAGTGGCTGCCACCCGCACAACCGACCAGGGCCGGGGACAAACTGCAACCGAGGCACGCGCCCTTATTGGGAACCGAACCCGGGTCTCTCAGGACCGTAGGCCGACGCTCTAACCGCTGAGCCAAACCGGCCAGGGCTCAGTTCCCTTTAAAAAACATATCTGATCATGTCATCCCCTGCTTAAAACCTTCTAATGGCCTCCACTCTACTGAATAAAATACCCACAGTCCTCACCTCACCTCCTTCCACCTCTGCCTCACTCCTACCCTGCAACCCCTCAGGCCTTCCTGCTGTCTACAAGGCACACTCATTCCCTCCTCACGTCCTCTGCCCTGTCCACATCTTTGTAAGGCTGGGTCCTTTTTGTTCAGGCCTCTGTTCAAACGTTGCCTTCCTGACCATCTGATCTAAAGAGCTCTCTTTGCCCCATCCTTAATCTGTCTTATTTCCTTCAGAGCCTGATACTCTGGAAATTTTATCTAAACATCAATCACTCATTTCTGATCACCAGACTGTAACTTCCACAAGGGGGGAATCTTGCCTTATTCATTTTGGTAATCCCAGAACCTTGGACAGTGCCTTGTATGCTTAATTCTGCTTAAGAATTATTGGTTGAAAGAACCACTGAATGTGTGACATCAGATGAGGAGCTCCTTAGGGAAGGATGGCTGGGGGAAGCTGTGCTGTGGTGGTCTGGTGTCCTGTCGCAGGCATGGAGCAGTCCCACTGCCCTAAAAGGAAGCCCCGGCCTATAGAGTCCGATCTCTGTTCAGGTGGCACTGGCTACACAAAACCTTGGGGGTGTGGGAGCAGTGTCCTTATACCCCAGCTGCAGGCTGTGAATCAGCAGGGGTGAGGAGGAGCTGAGAAGGTACCCCAGCCTTCAAGAGGAACATGCCGGCAGTCTTGCCTCCATTTACCCAGCATTTCAGTTAGAGCATGAGCATCGATGAAGGCCAGGGACCATCTATGTCTTGTTTCATGCCCCAGCCCTGGTTCAGGGCTTGACACACCTCGAACATTTGGTTAGCTCTCTGTTGAGTGTACGAATGCCAGGCCTGGGAAGTAAGAATCACCCCTCTGTTCTAGGTGCGGGGTGAGGGGCATAGCAATAAACTTATAAAAATAGTGGGATGGAGTCAAACAAATTTCAAGATGTAGAATTGACAGGGATCAGAAATAGATGAGATGTGAGGGTCGAGGGGAACCCTTCACAGTTTGTGTGTAGGCAGGGAACATGTTGGTCTCATTTACCATTGATCCCTCTAGCTCAGCCCATGATCTGCCCCAGTAAATACCAAATTAAAGAATGAATAAATACACGCAGAAATCAAAGGAAGTGAGAAGGGGCAGAGGAAGAATAGGAGAGCCAGGAAGGTAGGATTTTGCCCCTGCTGTATCCTTAAGGGCCAGGACAAGGTCTGGCATGCAACAGATGTTTCAGAATGAATGAAATCTCTAGTTTGTAGGTATCACTAGGGCAGAAATCATGGCCGTCTTGGTCCCTGCTTGGTTCCTAATTAATAGGTGCTCAATTAATATTTGCAAACATCATGAGAAGCAACTTGATCTAGATGTGGTTCCTGGGGAACCTTCCCTTCTACTTGGCCTCATTCCTCATTCAACAACCAATCAACTTTTATAGAACCTGTGATAGGCCTGGCAGCCTGGAAGCTTTTACATGAGGCACATCCCTTTTCTTCCTTCCTCATCTTTTCCAGTGTGCCTCAGCCAGCTGGGCCAGAGGCCTAGGAGGACTCCAATAAGTGGTTCTTAAGTGGGGGCAATTTTATCTCCCAGGACACATTTGGCAATATCTGGAGACATTTTTGCTTATCATAACCGGAGGTGGGGGTGGGGTGGGGAATGCTAGTGGCATCTAGTGGGTAAAGACCAAGGATGCTGCTAAACAACCTACCACACACAAGACCAACCCTATGATCACCCATCCTCAAAAGTCAATAGTGCCAAGATCAAGAAACTCTCACTTCAGGCCAGGTTCTGTCTCTGCTTGGTAGATTCTGGCATCCTGGTTGGACAGGGAGTGCCATGAGGGCAGGCACTGCATCTGCCCTGTTCACACTGGGAATTCAGGAGCTGTCAGTGTTCACAGACACATTTTTATTGAGCTATTGTGACTCTGTAGCCGGAGAGGCAGGCAGTCCTTCAACCTTTCTGAGCCACCTTTTCCTTCCTTAATGGGGCAAGGCCACCTCACCAGGCCCTGAAGGTTTACTGCTGCCCCGTCTTGCCCCGAGCGGTGTTTTCTGGTGTCCCTATTTCCCACCACCTAGGCTTGGCCTCCTAAATTCTGTGGAAGCAAATTTTGAGGGAGGACACCACTTACTGTTGATGGACTTGAGGTCCCGGTGGATGATGGGCACAGGGGCATCATTGTGTAGGTAGTTCATGCCCCGGGCCACCTGCACCGCCCAGTTGACCAGCACATGAGGGGGCACCCGGCGACCCGCCAGCACCCTGCTCAGTGCGCCCCCCCTGGCATACTCCATCACCAGGCAGAGGTTTGGGGGGCTGAGGCAGGCGCCCCTGAGGGCAATGATGTTGGGGTGCTGAAGGGCTCCGAAGAGCCGAGCCTCTTGGCACACCTGCTCTGCTGTCACTGCGGGGTCCCGCTCAGGGTCCAGCCGGGCGGCCTTGACGGCCACCTCCTCGCCACGCCACAGGGCCCGATAGACCTTGCCAAAGCCCCCTACACCGATGATCTCCTCTAGCTGCAGCTCGTGGAAGGGGATCTCCTGGGGCAGCTGGAGGCCGGCGGGTGCGACGGGTGCAGCAGGGGAGGTGGGAGCGACGTAGTTGCTGGGGAAGACGCCCACACGGCCGCTGGGTAGCTGCCCGGTCCACCAGCCCTCGTCGCCCGACACCGCACAGTCCTGGGAAAGCACCTGGACGCGGTCGCCCCTCCGCAGGGTCAGCTCCTCGTCGCCCGCCGCCTCGTAGTCGAACACCGCGGTCCAGACGGGCCCCGCGGGGGGGGTGCCCCACTCCTTGGCCGCCGCGCCCCCCTCCTCCTCCTCCATGGGGGAGGGGCCGGGGGCTGCGGGAGGCTGCTTCAGACCGGCGGCCCTCGGGACGCAGAGGGCGGGCCCGGGTGGCCAGGACGGGGGGCAGTCCCTGCGGGCTCTAGGGGGCTCCTGGGGGCCATGGCTGGGGGTCCCTCCGCAGGAGCTGGAAAAAGCCGCTTTAAAAGGGCAGGGTCGTCCGCTCTGATTCAGCTGTCCAGGCAAGGCGGGGTGGGGGTAGGGCGGCGGGTTCACCGGTCCCCGTCAAACGTCAGGGCGCTAAGAAGGCCTGGCCGCCCGGTTCCCGAATTCTGCCGGGGCCCGCCGGTGGGGCACGAGGGCGAGGGCCCCAGGCAGCCCCCTTCCCCGCGCCTCATCGCGCAGCTCCACCGGCGGCCCCCGGCTCCGCATCCCGGGCCACACCTGCGGGGCGGGGCGAGGGTGGCAGGGCCCGGGGGGCGCCCGCCCCAGGACGGGGTGGCGCGCCCCTCGGCCTCCTCACGCGCGGCGCGGCCGGGCGGCCCCCACCTTCTGCACCAGCCTCCGGGTCGGCCCCAGCCCCTGCCCCCGCCCGCGCCGCTTCCCGGGCCGCCGGCGGTGCCCGAGTGACGTGATCGCCGCCGCCGCAGTGCCGCCTGGGAGTTGTAGTCTCCCGCTGCGCGGCTTCGAGGTCCACGGCAGCCCTCCAGCCCCCCGAACCCCACTGCCGGCCACAAGTTGCCGTGGGGATTTCGCGGGGCCGAAGGAGTCCTCCCGGGGAGATAAGCTTGGCCTCCGATCCTCCCTGGGACCCGGGGGCCGGATGCCTTAAGGAGGGAAGGAGGACGGGGCGCTTCACAGTCCCTGCGGGGGCCGCGGCCCAAGGTTGGGTTGGTGGTGACGGATGCGCTTCGCAAACTGAAAAAGTAGGGGATGCATAAATGAGGGTTACTGCCCGAAGCCTCTTATGAATCCGGGACTCTGTCCCCGCTGCTGGACGGCCCCTGGGGCGCCTCTCCGAAGAGCACGACGGGAAATGTAGTCGGCGCTCGGACCCGCGCAGCGGGAGGCTGCCCACAGACCGGGGGCGTGGGGAGTCCTGCCAAAGAGTGAGGCCTGTGCGGGGAAGGCGAGGGTGTGTTTACCGTCCCTGGGCTAACATAGCCACGTCTGCCTCCACCGTCAGAACTCACACCTGGAGAATCCCCGCCTCCCATTGTAGGAACTTCGATTGGGGGTTTGGGGGCGGAGAGGGCTTCATGCACACCTTATGCTTTGCACACAGGGTATCATTCAGTCTTCGTGAGGCCCCATTTTACAGGTGACGCATAGAGAAGTGAAGTCCCGGTCCAGAACTATACATGGCAAGGCAAGATTTAAAGGCAGAACTTTAAATTAAAAAATAAAAACATGATTTAAAAATGACATCCCAACCCTGGCCGGTTTGGCTCGTGGACCCAAGAGTGACGAGTTCAATTCTGATCAAGGGCATGCACATGGGTTGCAGGTTCGATCCCTGCCCCTGTCAGGGTCGTGCGGGAGGCAACCCATTAATGTGTCTCTTTCATATCAGATGTTTCTCCCTCCCTCCCTTCCACTCTCTCCAAACATATCCTCCGATGAGGATTTTAAAAAAGGAGTAATGAGGTGTTAATAGACACCTTTGATGGAATATTATCCAGCCTTAAAAAAGAAGGAAATCTCGTCATATGCAACAACATGGATGAACCTGGGGAACGGTATGCGAAGTAAAATAACCAGTTACAGAAAGACAAATACTGGAATATTTTCAGATTCCACTTACATGAAGTATCTAAAATATTCAAACTCATAGAAATAGAGAGTAGAACAGTGGTTTTCAAAAACTGTGTGGGTGTGGGTCACTGTCCAATCGGTATAAACTTTCAGTTATACAGGATGAATAAATTCTAGCATTCTGTACAACATAATGCCTGAAGTTAAAACACTGTATTGTCCCCTTAAATTTTTGTTGAGTTCTCATGTTAAGGGTTCTCATCACAATTTAAAAAGACATCTGCAAATTCTAACTTCTTTCCTTTCCATCCAGAGCCAGTCATTCAAGAATATGAATTGATATCCTCATATACAAACGCTCCATTTTGGTGCTGTGTAAAAGTTGAAAAGATGCACAAGATAGCTTCCCTTGAGAAGCTTAGCCTATAGGAGACCTTGGAGAAGTTATGAGCAGAGTAGTTCCCCATTACCAGTCTCCAAATTATCCATCATTGATAGTGTTAGAAGATTGTTCACAAGACCAGTGATTATATTATATAGAGAGAATCTATTAGTAGCATCATGAGAATAGCCAGCGGACAGTGCCTCTCAGCAATACCTGAAGGAAGATCATTCACACCTGAGATGGAAAAAACAGGCCTAAATAAGTTCACAAAACCTTCTTAGTCCAGTCAATCAAGAGTCATGCCAGCCAACGGGAAGGGAGAGATTCTACAGTCAATCAAAGGGCAGGCACAACCTCTTCCTCTTGGTTTCCACAGTTATCCTTTGGTGGTATCAGCAAGGAGGACCAGGGACCAGACTGGGTGAGGACATCTTCTCAAGGATCTTTTTTTCTTTCTTCTTCATTTTCCCCTCTCAGTACTTACTATAGGTCTGGAATGCATAAAGAACAAGGTAAAGGGGTTCCCAAAACGACCAAGTCCTGCCCCTTTGTTTTGGCAAGGATGTACTAAAGTGAACAGCACTTAAATTTTCAGAGATGTGCATCCAGAACTATCCTTTATTTATTTATTTGTTTGTTTTTAATCCTCACCCCAGGACATTTTTGCATTTATCTTCAGATAGAGTGAAAGGGAGAGAGGGAGGAAGAGAGAAAGAGAAACATCAATGTAAGAGAGACACATAGACTGGCTGCCGCCCACACGACCCCAACTGGGGGCCAGGGACAACCTGCAAAGGAGGTATGTGGCCTTAGTGGGAACCAAAAAGGGGTCTCTCTGGTGTGCAGGCCAACGCTCTAACCGCTGAGCCAAACCTGCCAGGGCAGGCACTTCACTTTAAATCAGTGGTTCTCAACCTTCTTAATGCTGCGACCCTTTAATACAGTTCCTCATGTTGTGGTGGCCCCCAACCATAAAATTATTTTTGTTGCTACTTCATAACTGTAATTTTGCTACTGTTATGTCTTAGGTGACTCCCGTGAAAGGGTCCTTCGACCCCCAAAGGGGTTGCGACCCAGTGGTTGACAACCGCTGCTTTAAATCTTCGTGTTTCCAATTCTAAATTAGGTGAGAGAGTCTTCCAGACTGAACTGAGGCTTCCCATTGTTCTAAAATTAAATCGGAGACAGATTGGAGGACCTTGGGTATTGGAGAACTAAGGAGAAAAGATGAAAACACCAAAGGTGGGAGAGCTGTTTCTTAGCCCTGGCTGGTCTATCAGTTCTGATTGTGAGATTCCTGTAAGCCCAGAAGACAAAGGAAAAACAACTTGAGCAATGGGAAATTAGGAAAGGGAGAAGGCAAACAGGCAAGTGGGGGAATTAAGCTTGAGATTTGTCGCTGTGGTCATTTAATTGATTGACTTTGAACTACTAATCTTTTACCATTCAGAAGTTCTGGGATGTTCTGATTTTATGCTAAATCCTATTCAAGTAACTGTGTTAATGAGGCTGGTTTTGTATGACCACAGGTGTTGAATGAGAGTGGGAGCCAGGTGATGCTGGTTGTGAGGAATGAGGCCGGTTACCCAGGAAACTCGATGGCTACCACACAGAAAGAATGGGCGGTGGAGCCTCAAGTCCGTGAGGTGTTAGGGAGTTGCTGTGAGGATACCCGCTACCCATCTGGACCCTGTACTGTGAGGGATGGGGGTGATTAAGCAGCCAGCATTTGAAAGGGTTTCAGGGGACACGGATACTGTGTTCAGGGGAAGGTTTCAGCTAGAAAATGGATGAGAAAGGAATGTTTAGAGAAAAGGGTTAGGACATGGGAGTTTAAAAAAATTGTGGTAAAATATCCATGAAACAAAGTTTACTATTTTAAGCATTTTTAAGAGTACAGTTTAGGGGCATTAAATACATCCACATTGTTGTCACCGCCATCCATCTGCAGAACTTTTTCATCCTCCCAATTGAAATGCCATTAAACAACTCCCAGTCCCCCTCCCCCAGCACCTCTATTCTCTATTGCCTCCATGAATTTGACTATTCTAGGTATCATGTATAAATGGAATAATATAATATTTGTCCTCTTCTTTATTTCACTTAGCATATATTTTCAAAGCTTATCCATGTGGTAGCATATGTTAGAATTTCATTCCTTTTCAAGGCTGAATAATATTCCATTGTACATATACCACGTTTTGTTTATCCATTCATCCCTTGCTTTGGGTTGTTGCTTTTGGCTCTTGTGAATAATACTGCTGTGATCATTGGTGTACAATGAAAAAATTTTGAAATGGGGTTTTACTGGTGATGGTGACTTTGTTTTCAAGAGGGTACATGGAAAAGAAAGACTCAACTTTGGGGGAAAGGAGAGCTATGGAGACAAAATGGAGGTGTGCAGTGCCATTTTTTTTTTTTTTAAATCCTCACCTGAGAATATTTTTCCACTTCTTTTCAGATAGAGTGGGAGGGAGAGAAAGAGAGAGAGAAACATCAACGTGAGAGGAACATATCGATTGGTTGCCTCCTGCACGACCCCAACCAGTGCCAGGGACGAACCCCAAGGTACATGCCCTTGGCTGGAATCAAACCTGTGACTCATTGGTCTGCTGGCCGACGCTCTAACCACAGAACCAAAGCGGCCAGGGCTGCAGTGCCGTTTTTGAACTGGGGTGTGCATGTTGAAGAGTGACCTGGGTCTAGACTGTGGTGGCTGAATTATAGACAGGGTAGTCACACAGGCATAAGGCACCATGAGATCAGCCTTAGTGGCCATTGTCTGGGGCACATCTCTGCTGCCTCTATGGGGTTCTGCTTCCCGGGGTGGGCGGAAGTGAGGTGGTTTGTGAGTGTGGCTTTGTATCCTTCGTAGGCTCAAGTGGAGTTGCCACACTGCTGTGCTATCTCTCGGCCCTTGTCACTGGGTTCAGCCAAAGTGAGTGCTGGCTACTGAAGCCTGAATGTTGCTTCTGCCCCTCAAGTCCCCACTGGATCAGTGCCTGTTCACATCTTTTGCCCACTAAAAAAAATTCCATCCTATTAAATGATAGGAGTTCTTTAGATAGGCTGCTAAAAGTCCTTTATTGGATACACATATTGAAAAGATTTGATTCCAGTCTGTAACTTCATTTTCATTGTCTTAATGGCATCTTTTAATGAGTTTTTAGTTTTATTGAAGTTCAGTTTTTTAAAAGTTAGTGCTGTCCGGCCAGTGAGATTCAGTGGTTGAGCGTCAACCCCTGCACCAAGAGGTCGCTAGTTCGATTCCTGGACAGGGCACATGCCCAGGTTGTGGGCCTGATCCCTAGTTGGGGCATGCAGGAGGCGGCCAGTCGATGTTCTCTCTCATCGATGTTTCTGTCTCTCTCTTTCCCTCTCCCTTTCTCTCTCTCTAAAATCAATAAAGGAAAAAAATAAATAAAAATATTATAAATAAATAAAACTTAGTGCTTTTTAAGGTCATGAAGAGTGTCTCTTACATTTTTTTT